AGAGGAGAAATTTTGGAGGAATCTACGGCCAGCGACCAGTTTTAAGGGAATTTTCCAATGGATCGGATTTTCTAAGTTACATTTTTGGCCTAACCTTCACCGATGGAAAGAGAAGGCAAAAACTGGAAATGTCCGTGAAAGTTAAGACAATACAAACATGACTGACAGAGACACTTAAAAAAAATTACAAAGAGACTAGAAATGGGCTTAGTAATTAAGCGTTAGGTTTGGATCTAGTATTCAAATCACAGCGTCACCTACTCATATTAATCTTGGGAGCCACGCCCACCAAGAAGATTAATGTAAGTAGGTGACGTTAAGAGTAAAGCATTACTTGATGCACATGGATGGGGTGGCAAGGTTGGCATATCTGTATTCTCAACAAATAAGAAAATCTTCTACAACTTAAATAAAGGTTAGTTAACTCAACAAGAAAATGGATTTTCACATGTCAGTTTGATCACGATTCTGACTTTTATTCGAGGGGCAAAGGGCCTATTGAATTTGAACTCCACAGCAGCGCTTATGAAATGTTTTTGGAATAGTCATATAGAGAGTGGCAATTTCATGATTATCTCCTCGGCCAACCCCAAATTCACAACACGGTCTCACGTTTTCTATATAAGCGTCACGTCTCCTGATTTTTTCTCCCGGCGTTTGTTTCGCAAGAAATGAATTATTTAAAAAATATTTTCTAAAAAATAATCAATTATATCGCTTATAAAAATAATTGAATGACAAATATATTAATTGTCCACGTAAAAATTTATATATAAATTGTTGTTGATAATGAAAACATTTTTCATTGACTAATTATTTCGAACGATACAAACGATTACTTTTATGAAATTTTTTTTCAAATTATTTATTTTCTGCGAAACAAACGAAACCTAAACGAGTCGAGGGCCCCTCCCAAAAAATTCCTTTGCCCATCCAGCTTTTCAAGATAAATTCATTATCGCTGCAGCTGTGGCCTGGCCTCCTCTAATCAGTTTTATAGCAAAAATTAATGAAATTCTAGTACTTGACACAGTATATATGCAGAAGATGGTGAAAGGCAGAAAACAACAACATTCATCCCAAGTACCAAAAGAAAAGAATGTGTGTATTTACAATGAATAAATCGAATGCCACAGTGAAGTGCACAAAAGAGAAGAAGGCACACGTTGAGCTGTGATTGCTTGCAACTCCCCAGCAAAGAACCGGAACAGGCCAGTAATAACAATAACTGTAATGGCCTTTAATTTACAGAAACTGGAGAAGACCCTTTTTCCTTGTTATAGAGGATGAAGTTAGATTCTTGAAGAACTTGATATCCCTGATGACCAAATCTTGCAGCAAGCATAATATCTTCAACTATGCAACACTGACATCCAGTGAACCAAGAACTCAAACTGGGCATGCCGTGTGCATTGCTGAGAACGGTGAAAACGAATATCATGCAGACCATCCATCAGAAAAAGAGTCAAGGCTCACAAATCACAATATCAAGAGACCTACCCACCAAATAACAAAACCCGTGACCAGCTCTCGAATATCAATGCATAACATCAAGCAACGAAGTGCAAAATTTCCAATCAAATCGTTTGGACTTGAAGCGAGCCTCAACTTGAACAGACATCATGTTTTCTCATCAACTCTATGCTCTCAGCAATAGTCGATCCAGCTGTACCAACAAAACCTAGAGAAGCACAGCTGCATATCACTTCCTCTATGTACAGAAGGACATCAGCTAATTTGTGAGGAGAGCATTGCTTTTTCAGTTTGTCCATTCGTGCAAAACTACTTGCAACAAGCCCAACTCTCAGGCCATGCCCGCCAACTGCAAGTTCCTTTGCTGTTCGAATCACTAGCTCATCTTCTTCTTGCAGAAAATGAAGCTTAAAATTGTCAACATCTCCGGCCAAATCTCCCAAGTAAGTTCTGCTCCAGTTACCTTCAGGAAGATCAGTCATCACAAATATATGAATAGGCAGAGGTCCATTCTGCCTCAAAGATTCAATCTTTTCTTTTAAGGTTAGAAAAGTAATTTTCCAGTGGTTTTTGAATTGCCCATCCAACAATCTCAGCTGCGCACAAAGAAAAGGGGCCTTAATGGTTGTAAGAGCAAATTCCTTTCCAGCGCTGAGAATTTGAGGGACAAAGGGGAGAAATTCAATTTTCTCAATTATCGACTGTATTCTCTGATCCTTTGGAGCTTCATGAATATCAAAGTAAAGCTGCGAACCCTTATATGCAGATGTGAAGAGGCTTCCAAAGGCCAGAAGAGCAGCTGAATCAGCTTGAGAACCAGGTCCAAGAGCCTTATACACATCACGACGCCTCCTAACATATGTTATCTTCTTTTTCCTCTTCAACTGTTCATCGGGTTGAAATGAGTCTAACTCTCCGTCATTGCCATTTTGGTATGTCCAAACTGTACTTCTACAGTCTTCATCCACAGAATATAAACACTCGTCTACATTACCGTTAAACCCAGAGAGAAATGATCCACATTGCTTTAAGCTAGCAAACAGAGGGGACTCGCCAGCGGTCCCACTGTTGCAAGCCAAGTCTATATTCACTCCACACCATATCGATGCAAAAACTCGGAAATCAATTGTTCTGATCATTGAAGAAGAAACTAAGGACGAAATATCAATGATGTCAGCCATAGAGACGTACCTGAAATACAACGAAGAACCTTGGTCACAAAAAGATTAGACAAAAAAACTCTTTCTTCCTTTGGCAACTGCAAATTAACAAGACTCAGCATTGAGAATAGAAGGCCATAATCATCCCTGCCTGAGACTCTCAACCCTTCTGATGACCAAAGATATGGACAATTATGAGCAGCAAATTCACTTCTAACCAATTTCTCTGGGCGCCAAAGATAATTCAGACAACTGAAATCCTAAACCAGTGCGAGGATGCTGAGGAAAAAAAAGACTCCTAGAAAAGATCGCAAATTTACTCAAGATAGCTAATTAACATGTTTCATCTCAGTTGCAGGACGCGCTCATGAAACTTACCCAAAAGAAAATCTTAAGTCAGCATAAAGAAAGAAGTGAAATTGTAATAAAAATTGCATCTTCCGAAGTTAGCGAAATCAGCACAGAGAGCAAACGACACAATGATCGTTCCATCGCCGCACCAACGGAAATCCGGCAATCCCCACTCACCTCCCAGTCCTCAGAAGCTCCACCGCGCTCTCCCAGACCGCGAGCCGCATCTCCCTCCCGCTCAGGACCCGGAACTTCGGGCAGCTGCCGAGCGCGACGGCGTGGTGGTCCAGGACCGGCGGGACCACCAGCGTCCGGTTGAGGATCGCGGCCGCCACGATCGCGTTCCTGAACTCGGAGAGCTGGTTGCTGAACCCGCTGTGCGGCGCGTAGGACAGGAACCGCTGGCCCAGGGCTCGGACCCGGGGCTCGCACCGCGAGGGGCGCGGCGCCTCGGGCGAGCCCCGGAGGAGGCGCGAAGTGGGGGCGCGAGCGTAGGAAGAGTAGAAGAAGACGAGGAAGAAGAGGACGGCGAAGAGCGAGATTGCGCAGAAGAGGGGAGAGCGAGATCGTGGGGCGGAGCCGGATCTCTTCCTCGGCCATGGGTTCGGAGATCGGCCGGCGAGAGCTACGATGGCGTTCATCTTCGACGGCGAGAGTGACGACGGTGATGATGCCCGTTTAAGTCGCTCTTTCCAAAAACCGGATCCGAAATTGGGGGCTGACAGCCCGATGGGCCATCCCGGGCCCAAGGCCCATATGATAGATTGATTTGAACCATTAATTCCTTGCTGAGTCCGGCCCGCCCATCATAGCTCGTCTAAACCTGGTTAGGCGGCTCAGCTAATTTCATGTGAACTTTAAATACCACTTTATGTGCACAAGAGGTCAACAGAAAATAAGCCGGACCTAATTGATCATGTTATCCCTATTTAGGGTTTTAGTGATGTCGATTTGGGAACAAGGAGAATGCAACTGCAAACGTGACGAAGTAGAGAAGAGACGGCGTTGTTTCTGGATATGTAAATTATTCAAAATGACGTCATTTTGCTGATGTGGAGGATTTTCCTTTGACCTAGTTGCCATGTAGGAGAGAGAAATGATTAAAATACATCACGTATGGGCCGAGTTAACATAAGGAATCGATTGCAACAATTTGCCAAGCGTTAGGACTCAATTGTTTAATTTTTACAGAAATTTATGAAAATGCATCAATATTAATGACATAAAGATAAAGTAAATTTTTTAAAGGAAAGAAAAAGCTAATTTGGATAACCAATATCTATTTGATCAGTGAATTACCGACTTACATTTGAATTTTACTATTGATAATGAAAATTTAACAAGCCGATAGCACAAAATTAAGTTTTCATTAGTAAGTTACTAATGACTACTTGTGATCAGTATCACCAATTAAGATTTAAATATTTTCTCTGAAAACTTACTATTATCGATGTACAGATTCTGTCATCAATCTAGAAAAACTGACTTATTAGAAGTCTCCAAGTTTTCGCTCATCAATATGTGAAAGCCCCCTATTTTATTGATGATTATGAAATACCATGTATTTTTCAGAAAACTGCTAACAACGTAGCCAGTTGCAAAAATTCGAAAAAAAAAAAAAAAAAAAATTAAAATATTACCAGTGCACGTGGGATAATTTTTCCAGATTATAGGCCTAGCCCTTATGTCCCTATACGCAGTGGCACATCCCAACAAGCAAACAATCGTTAGGACAACACTGAACTTGTCTCTAATATTTGTCACCGTAGCATCATTTCAAAGGAAGTTGGACAAGATGGGGAGAGAGAGAAAGCTATTCGTATGAAGGAGAGAGCTGTGACCAAGGGCAAGAGCCGAGAAGACAAAGGAGGAAATGAAGTGAAATTGGACACTTACTCATCTTGCTGATCATGTATGGACACAGATATGCACGGTGTCCAAGTAGAAGTTGAAGTGTCTAGCAGCTAGTCGAACTGTATTATGTCTACTATTAACACTCCATGCGATTGCTTTACATAGGAAACCTCCATTTGATTGGACAGGACGTTAAGCTACGACCCGTATGTGAGCCGCAACCGTTCTCTCAAGTATTCTCCACTCCGGATTGGAGGAAACCTGCGCACATGAAGTAAGTTCAATCAAAGTTGTCGTTCCAGGCCATCCAGAACGCCAGTGAAGCACTTTCACTAAAAAAGAATATCACACCAAACTCGAATACGTTTTTTCCCCCACACAGATTGCTATGCCCCAAATAATGTCAACAGCCAGCAATTTCCTACTTCCTAGCAAGAACAAGCCACATGCTTATTAAGGTAAGTGAAAAAGGACAATATTGCACTTGCATGTAACTATAATTTCGCATCCATATAATACTATAACAATCCATTGATATTTGCTTCTCAGGAACAATTTTACGAGACGCCGAGACGAAGCTTTATAACGAATCCTTATACATGTGTAATCTCCCAAGAAAGAAGATATACGGAGAAAATAATTTGTGCTAACTACCACTTATGCATCTCCAGCTACAAAAATCTTGCTACCATTTAGTTGCAATTTGAACCTATCAGGTCATTTTTGCTATATATTTCTAGGTGTTGATTTGTATGAGTCAGAAACAGGCTAGTTTGCTGATGCGGTGGCGGGTATAAAATATGTAATTGCTAGGTCAATAATGCTAACGAAGAATACCACCGCACGGGCAGTTGCAGTGATACCTTGGAGGAAACGAGTCGCTGCAGCAACTTTTTAAGCACTCTACCACACAATCTTCATCTGGATCAAAGAAAAAAGCCATCTGCAGAGGATGCAATTTCAAATTAACAGTTAGTTTTACCATAGTCTCCCCTACAATTAAGAAGATTTTCTGACAATATGAGAGAATTTATTCAAAATACTAATAGGTAAACCGGAATAAACAAAATTCTAGTATCTACACATTCAATAAAATACAATATTCTACATCACCACAAATTTAGGCTTGATGAATTCATCATTTGCATGGCCCACCCACTCAGTTAGTGCTCTTTTCATGGACTCTAGTCTCTAGACGAAACAGAAAGATTCTGACTTTCATCCCATTAAGTAAAATATTTGAAGTAAAGTAAGGAAAAACAAGAAAAACCAGGAACCTGAAGTGGTATTTAGTAAGTATGCATCTACTTAAGAGAGAAAACTTGAAAAAACTTGAAAGGCCAGTAGAAAAAGATGGCGCAAGGAAAACTTTATTGCTTTCCTGCGCTGATTTCAAGAGCACAAACGAATCCTTAGGGACGTAATTCGGAGATTGGAAGTATTTTCTAATGTGGAAATTCTAGAAATGGGTAGTGAGCAACATTCTCATGCATTTGAATTATCATAGCCCAAAAATCTCCACTATTAGAGCAATCAACAATCAAGGTCGAGATATGATTTCATTCAACAAAAGGATCACATAACACACACGAAAAACTTAAACGATAAAACTCAATTAACACGTGACTTTACAAGCCAATTTAAACCAGGTTTCAGGGGGAAAGAGGAAAATATCCTTCATACAAACAAAATGATGCTACTCAAAATTTGACAACTTCTATGTGATAAAAGCAACGAGAATGAAAATGCATAGTTCAGTAGAAATCACATTCCTGTAATAAAGAAATTATGATGAAATAGACATGGCTTCCACTCCATTACTTCCTTTTGGCTATTATTGGGCTCTTGAGCATGAGAAACGACTTTAGCTTAGTTTTATATTCAGTTCAAGAAGAGGGGCTGAAAGACATTTGCCTTATCAGGAGCATGTCAGAAGTATTGATCAAATAATATCCTGTCAATTCGCAGATACTATTTCCAGTTACTATTGGATAAGTGTAAACACAATGCCTTAGAACTTGCAAACTGAAGAATGACAAGCGAACAGATAGCAGACAAGTAAATTACAGAAAAGCGTTCTTGTCCCGCTGGCATCACTCTGTGAAGTGTTGACCTGAGAGTAAGAGACAAACTTTAAAATTTAAAAGATATTATATCTTCTAGAAAACACTTGCTACATTTAGTTTTTCTAGTTTCATTGATTACCTGAACAAACAATTAGTCCACCTCTCCATCATGTCACCAATATTTACGATGAATGCCCTGCAAAATCATTTTCATATTGTTGATATCAAAACAAAGAATAGCCAACTCAGTCATCGTGAGAGTAGCAGCAAGACAGAGCACTTCTATGCTAATGCTTCTTTCATCGTCTTCTGCTTGTTGTACTCGTAAAAAGTGAAGATACCAAAAGAGATACTAGAGAAACAGTAAAATAAACAACAGAACTAATCAGAAAGAGAGCTGGAAGTCTTTGGCTAATCTACAGAATGGATCATCAGCAGTTCACCAAGACAAAGTCATCATTCATCTGAAGTTCTAGAGATAAATTGCTTGAGGATAACAAACTCACCCATTTATATGAGGAACAGCCTCCCAGCATCGCTGGTGCTTATCTTTATCCCTGCAGACCTGCAGACAAGCTTCATTAATTTGTCCCTGCGACAAACATTTAAGATAATCGTGCTTGAAAACTCAAGTATATTAAAGCCGACATGCCTGCAGTCCTGGAACTCCATCAGTTGCCAGTAGAGTGACCATTCCATAATCAGAATGGGCAGATGCACCATAAATTTCTTCTTTAGAAATCATTACTTCATCTGGAAATTAGTTCCAGGACGATTGTCACTTTGGGTTCTCATTTGCTTCTATGCAAAAGAACAACCATGCTATTTTAAAAGTCTAAACGACATCAGCATTACCGAATTCACATCTAGACTATATCTTGATTATGATGCCATAAGATCATCTTTTCACATTTCATATTAGAAGAACACTGCTTATATGAGTTTCCTCTTGATTCATCATATCATCTAGCCAGTCATGCACAGTTGAAGTTCAATAGGAATTGAAATAAGTTCAGAACTCATCCGAGGCAACGGACAATGATATTGACTCACTAGCCATGAAAATCAGAGAGATGAGTGCACCACTGGACCTGGATAGTGTAGAAGACGAAGGAATGCGCTAGGTTTGTTTAAGGCCCCTATTTTCTCGAAAAAGTCATTCTCCAGGTTCAGTGACAGAGCAATCAAAGAGAGAAGCTTTCTCCCCACAGACCTAGTAAAAAATTCCATCATAGCAGTAGAATAGTAGGTTATGGTAAAGATGAAAATCCATCATGTAAGAGAGATAACCAATGACAGAAATATACGCAGTGAACAAGAAACGGATCCACATCATTCTTCTGAAAATTTACGCCCGAGTAACAAAATATCACATAGCAAAAAAGCTAGAGTAGAACTAATATCAGAAGCCATTTAACTTGGCGAGACATATCTGTTTGCACTTAAAATAGATTAAGGATATTTGTCTAGTCTAAAAATTCCAATAGTAGATGGAAATTCTTAGAATTTTGCAAAGAATGGCCATTTGGGAAAACGAAATCACTAGGTACAAGCTCTAAATGAACAATACTGGAACCACTTCCAGGTTGATCAACATGCAACTGCGTCAACGATAAGCAAGTGCTAAGAACTTACTCTACTTCTCTGTAGTAGGATTCCATTGTAGATTTCCAAGATGGCATCGTATCTGGAATTCACTAGAAGGGGAAAGAAACTTCAAACACTGCTTATAGAAAAGTCCGCATTTAATGATTTGTTATTAGATGTCAAATAGTGCATAGCACCTGGATAACACTTATGATGATGATGCAAACGAAGTTGAGCACAATGGTGTTAGAGGAATAGTATAGTTGATCACAGTGAGACGCAGTTTACTAATGATGTTGTCATGATAATACTACTGCATACAATACTCAGATGAAAAGCAGTCCATTTGAAAGGAGCAAATATATTCAACAAACCATACCTTCAGGAGGCCATTGGTTCAGATTCTTTTGATGCGAACAATCTTCTAGAGGGCCAATGTAGTAACTCTCTTTTGAGTCACCTAATGGAATCACAGACCTGTGAGTAATAACCAACCTATTTTTCTGTCCTTAACAATGGATAACCGACCAGAAACACGTACAATATAATACATTCCCATATCCATTAGCATGTATGTTCCCACAACCAAGCTCAAAAAATTTTAGACAAATCCTCAAGAAAAAAGATAAGTAACTTGATTTTAGAAGGAAGGCTAACAAGTCTAACCAAAGATGCCACGGAATGCAACTGCCCATGTGTGTGTGTGGTGAGAGAGAGAGAGAGAGAGAGAGAGACCTTTGGAGTTTGAGGAAGGGTCAAGGATCTCAGCATACAATGGCGTGTAGCCTCTATGTTCCTTCCGAGCCAATTTCATTTTCTCTTCCAAGGGGAGTGAGAAGAACTTTTTGCTTTCCTCAAGCACTTTGGCGAGCAACTCTTCCTTGACGCCATGATTCACTAGGTAAAAGAAGCCATACTCTATACAAGCCTGCAATCCAAATTCACATGCACACACTTCTCAGTTCCGAGATAAGTCTTCTCACACACACACAACCAAATGAACAAAAAAGAGTAATTCGAGCCAATCTGAATACCAAGTCGCATTGTTCCTTGCACTATAAAGTTAGATCACATGAAATGACTGGAGAGACTCTCTTAAGACAATAATCTTTATACTCAATTTGGACGGAGTGATTAAGGATGCCAGTCTTTTAAGCGTTTATAAATTGATGTAGAATAAGGGTATAAATGGGAAAAGGAGAATAACTTCTACTCATCAATTCTACTCCTTTCCGTCTCTTTCCCTCAATTCAAACATCGATCGTGCAAAACCCTTCCTCTTCCCCCAAAATCCCTCCCAACAAACATAGTGTTAGGTAAACGATCAAAAACACCGTTACAGGTGCAACTGCAACAATGTCAATGATGTTAACTACAGCAGTGGCCATGACGCTGACTGCAGTTTCGCATACAAAGGTCACACAACGTCAGTCCCCAGCCACCGACGAACTCGAAGACCGCCAGCGGTTGGCTCGTTTCGGACACAGCTAAAAACAGGGACCCCGAGAAGACGACGAGACCACGGGTTTCGTTCTGCTCCGACACAAGCAAACGGGAACGGGGAAACACGGGAACGAGCCGGTTCGCGAAGCGCTCGGGCGAGAAGAAACCTGGCGTATCGAAGCGGCGGAGGAGAGGCGGTCCGGCGACGACAGGTCTATGATCGGAAGTTTCAGCGCCGTCGCCATGATTTTGTGTCTTCGACACCGACGGCGTGTTTTCGGAACGAGGGGAAGTGGAAGAAAATGTGCAGAGATTATTATCCTGAGTTTGACTTTTCAAGTTAAGAAGAGGCGATGGAAATGATTTTGACCAAAAAAAGAAAATTCTTCTTTTCGGATTCATATTTTATTTCCTTCGAAAGTATAGAGAATTGAACAAGAGTGCCAAACATATATTCTATTTTCTACCACAAATTGTCCTCATTTTCTCTTTAAGGGCGAATAATGTGAAGAATTATTAAGTCTATCCGCGAAATAAATTCCCCTTTAGCGTCATTGAAATTCATTTCCTGCTCGAAGCTACAATTCTATATCTACAGACCATTGCCCACCATTCACTGGACAACAACCACCATGCTCAATGACCAATCACCAATGCCGCCGCCCGCTGCCACTACCGCCGCCGCCATCACACAGCTAGCTAGTGCAGTGACTGACCCCAATGGGCGCGTAATTTGGCGCCGAAAGAAAAATAAAAATGAACAATTTTGATTACTCGAAAGAAAAGAAAGAACAAAACCCACGAGGCAGCAATATGATGAGACAGGAAGATGCAATATCCCTGCCCGCAATTGATATGTTCGAATTAATAAATATGCTTTTGAATGGAGTCAAGTGACTCCATGTTGATCTACTTCTGCCAATATCAAGACAACAGCACCAGAAAAGCTCTGATTCGCCCTAGACGCGAGATTCTCCTTCAAAATCTCTCAATCAAAATGATCTCAAGGCACTCGATCCGGTTACAGGTTCACAAAAAAAATTGCCAGGACCGGCACAAAATGCCTTGTGCTATGAGTCACTTTAAAGATACAAGAACATGGCAACCCCTCGAGCTCGTTTCCATATCTAAGAACTCCACGCCGGAGACAAGGGGGGGGGCAACTACACATAAGGACTCACATAGTCGCAGCTCCTTCAGCAAGTCGAAGCTGCAAAAGTTTGGCATGAACCCACTTCAGGCAAAAGTTACAGCGGCTTCATATTTGTCCCGCTTTCAAACTGGAAGAACAATCGCAAGTTAACAGGAAGCTTGATGCATAATGAATCCAAGCAATCATCATCTCCTGGCAAATCTGCTTCTTCGAATTGCAGTGACAGGAGTTCGGTAAGGAGTTGTCCCCACAGATCTCTGCTGATGCGGTTCCTCTTCTTCATCACTAGTTTCATCGGATCTCCATCTCAGTGCTCGAGCTTGGTTCTCGTCCTCAACCGCAAAAGATCTCTCACCACTGCTGAGAGTTAGAAAGCATACCATCAAGATGTATCAAATGACCGATTATAACATCTGCGGTTAAGCGCAAAAGCAACATGGAGGCACGAAAAGAGTCAAAATATTCAAAGAAATAGAGGAGAGCGATCGCATTACCTCCAAGAGATGTCCATTAGATCATCTGAAGAAACAGCATTCCAAGGTAAACCGTCGGCCTCTGAATGGACCCTTTTGCCAGATACTGCCTTGTGCAGGTCCTGCTTAGAACTTCTCAATAGACTGTGGTGGCTGGCAGGTGAGGACTGAGGATTCGCCATTGATGCTTGAGAGTGTAAATGACTACTTCTCTGGATTTGGTCGCCGAATCCATTTACTTCTACTGCTGACGAAATATGATCAGGCGAATTGCCCTGGGGCCAACTCTTTTGACGAAACTTAGGCGAACCTCTAGGAAACCTTTGCAATGGTGAGGCAGGTTTGAAATCAAAAGCTCCAGATGTTGACGTATCATTTTTTAAACTTCTGCCAAGAAGATTTGAGCCTCTTTCTGTATTCAAAAGCAATGACTCTCCTGGAACTGAAGACCAGTCGGTGTTACCAAGTCCAACTGCAAAATTGGTGCTGGACACGAGTACTTTCATAGGATTCCCCAGATCAGATCGTTTTGAGGAAGGCGTCATGACCTCGTTCAATATAACAGAAGAATCCACAGCTACGGGAATTGAAGAACTGTAAGGAATAGGCCTTCGTTCAAGAGGAAGATTACATTCTTCAGGCATATGAGCATCTTCAGAGGTGACGGCTATGTCAGGCAGCTTTCCACTCTTTATCTGTTGCTGCTGCACCTCTGGTAACAACTCTATACACTTATCCTGTTTTGTACAAGCAATTGCTAGTTACTCTCCAGCAGTAGAGACAACAAACAATTTTTTCCGCGCACGGTACAACATGCAAAATGAACACTCTGAAACAAGCATCAAGCAACAAAGGAAGACTTCTACTCCTAAGGACCTCCCATTTAGGAATCTTGCAAAATATGTCAGTGCCAACTTAGCTTACTAAGAGAATCCACCTAAGGTGGCTTCACATGCTTGGAGTCTTGTCTCTAGTAGAGCCGAAGCACCTGTCCAACAACTTGCCACCTTCGAACACGAAGCTAAAAGGTCAACTACAAACTGCTTACCACTAGCTCTGTTCTCCAGTGACTAGCGGCTTCCATTCTAGATAATATGTCTTGACTAGCTGAAGTGGTCGATGCAAATTCCTGCTCCAGGCGCTGTAGTTCACAATCAACTTGGTATGCCTCAGAATACCTGTGGCGCTGCAATGGAACACAAGGGATTTGTAGGAATCAGGCAAAACAGCCATACAGTTTTCTTGTTTGAAGAAATAACTAAACTAGCTCTCACAGCCAGGCAAATGGCCAGAGGCAAGTGGGTTAACGGGCCAAGGATGAGACCCAGGTTCAAACCTGATATATCCTGGACCTATGGGGTAAAAATCCCACCAAAAAAATAAAATAGAACTACCTACAAGGGACGAATGACTTCTAGAGATGATGTAAAAGCAGCGGAACAAACCAACATCCAACAGATGGAAACACAGAAATTTAATATTTGGTAGCAAAGAATTATTGATGGCATCAGCGAAATCTGACAAATTAATCAGAGAGATAAAGTGAAGCAACTGTTTGCATTTAATATCCTATAGCTAAGTAGTCAAACTACTCAAGAGTGACATTTCATATTCATTCTCAGTGATCAGCAAATAATGGCGATTCATTAGAATCATATTGAGACACCGAAACTCAATTATCACTTTCGTCAAAATGCCACTAGATTACCTGGAGATAGAAAACAACAAGAAGATTTCCAATGATAGTTGAAGGGTCATCAGATGCATAATCCATTAGACACTTGTGAAGATACTTCTCCTCGTCAGAGTTCCATGGCAACTCTATCATTCGATCTACAAGCTTTCTCCTAATGGAAAGGCAACATATTTCAGTGACTAAAATTTCCATCCATTCCACCCAAGTCCTGCATTCACCTTTAACGGTATTGGAAGGATCAACGGCAGCTTCATACTTAAGCTTCCTTTCCCTGACTTTGGAACAAAGCATCCTCTGATAAGTAAATGCCTCAGTGAGCAGCCCACACTCCACCCTCACTCGAATTGCAGTAACAGCCTCAGGAAGCGAGATTAACTGTGATCCACCATCACGCCCAGACCAACGTAAAACCATCAGGGCTGTATCTGGCATTCCTCTCTCTAACAACACTTGGGCAATCTTAGGATGAGTTGTTGAGCCTGAGATCTCTGGAAGAAGGTGACAAGCTTCCTAAGAAGTGTAAATTTGGGAATAAATATTAGCCTGTAAACCAATAGAATCTTTCCGACCAAAAGAAACAAACCAGTAGAATCTCAACCAAATTCCTAAAAATGAAAAGATGATGATATTCAACATCTCCATAGTCTCTTTGGCCCCAAAAAATCACCATAGTATCCAAAAGGCCAATAAATTAATATGAAACTTCACTAACACTTGCTGGCAGACATATTTGAAGATTTTTGTTATTTTCGCTTTCAGTAACTTCGGTGGCACTCAACTTGCACTGTCCCGGAAATAATGACTCCTTGACAAATGCGACACCAAAGACTAGCCCTCTTCAATAAAAAGGATTCTTAATACATCCAAAGATTACAATCACCTGAAACACGAACAAGCTGAAGAAGAGTATTGCTATCTCATTCCTTCTTTAAAGAAACTCCTCTGTTTTGCAACGGAAGCCACTTGTAATTAATGATTAACTTGCTTGCAAGGACTTCACCTTATTACCTTGTAACAATAAATATTTTCATTTGTTCTCGAACTGAAAATTTTGCGTAGATATAAATGTAGCTATGGGAGAATTACAATTTGCCCCCCAATTCTTTGGAATTGTGGCAAGTTGCCCCCTGACAATTTCAATTTTTTCAATTTGCCCCCTGACTTTTGAAATTGGTTGCAATGTGCCCTCTTGCGTTGACTGCAGCCAAATTTTTCTCACGTATCTGACCACATGACAACACGTGACTATTTCCAGAAGGGAGATTGGTTATACATTATGTGAGAAAAAAATATAGGGATTACTCAAAAATATATATTTCACATGTATATATCGATATGCATTTGGCATTGACTACGATCAAATTCTCGTTGGAACTTTAGTCACATGCTCAAATGTGACATATTTCTGAATTATTCCTCTACTTTTCAATAGGTACATACTTATATAGACGAACGTAATCAGTCACATACCATCACATTGTCAGAGCTTCAAGTAAATTTTGGTTTGAGTCAATCTCAGGACACATTGCAACCGATTTCTAAGATTCTAGAGCAAATTGTAAAAATTGAAACATCATGGAACAATTTGCAACAATCCTAAAAATTAGGGTGGCAATATGTAATTTGCTGCAAAGATATTTATAACACATCAACAAGGATCATGGAACAAATTTCATGTGGACTAGGGACTTCAGAACCTACATCCGAATAATCCAAGAGGTGCAACTTTTAGTGAGCATGATCAATAGCATTTACAGCTCAATCCAAGAAGGGAGAACCATTCAATACATAGAATGATGACTTGACAGCAAAGCTTCTCCTCTACAACCAAATATTAATACATAAAGTTCAGCTCAATCCAAGAAGGGAGAACCATTCAATACATAGGGCCCGTTTGGTTCAGCATTTCCAATGCTCATTTGGAGAATGTAAATACCTTTAGGTGAAAGTCACTTTGGGGAAATACAAATGGCGTTTGGTAAAAAATCATTTGAAAGCCATTTGAGAAAATGCAATTG